GAAGATAGAAAGATAGAAATTGTAGAAGAAACTATAAAATGTATAAGATATAATTGCCTAATACATTTTGATAGTGAGTTCTTAATAGCTATTTATACACACTCAGGGAGGTTATACACATTCAGCATGGAGGATTTTTCTCAACTGCTGAGAGATTTCCTCAACTGCCTTGAGGAAATCTTATCTGCTTCTCAACTACTGAGAGATTTCCTCAACTGCCTTGAGGAAATCTTATCTGCTTATCAATCATTAACTATAAAAGAGTTGATTGTAAATGAGTTTTTAAGAAAAAGCATGACTCAAAAAATAATATCGAATTATATAAGCCCATATTTATGGCTAAATGTTTTTCTAAAAAGAAGATGTCGAATATAATAAGATATTTTTTTTAATTTCTAAAAAAATATATTAAGACAATAATAGCTCATTATAACCTTAAGTTACATCAGATGGATGTAAAAAATAATTTTTTTTAATAGAGATCTAGATAAAAAAAAATTATATGGAACAATCGAAAAGATTTACAAAGAAATAAAAGAAAATTTATGTTTATAAACTTAGGAAATCCTTTTATAGCTTTAAATAAGTTTCTAGAGAATGTTCTATAAAGTTTTATGATGTCATTGTTTTCTTTAAATTTAAAAATATTATTAATTATTATATATATGTACAGATAAAAAAATAAGTTTATTATATTAGTTAGATGATATTTTATTTATAATAGTAATCTTAGTTTATTACACAAAATCAAGATATTTTTTATGAAGAATTTTAAAATAGTTAATATGAATAAGATAACTTATATTATTGGTATTAAAATATTTAATAATATATCTCAAAGATTACTAAGATTATCTTAATAAGTATATATTAACCTAATCTTAAAGAGATTTAGTATAAGTGTTGCTTAGTAGTACATATATTACTAAAGGTAAAAGATTCAGTCAAAACTAATGTTTCTAGAATAACTTAGAAAGTAATTAAATGAATGATATTTCATAGTTTTACTTATACACATATTGTTAAAGATAAAAGATTCAGTTAAAAGCAATATCTCCATAATGATTTAAAAAGAAATTAAATGAATAATATTTCTTTTGTATATATAATTAGAAGTTACATATTCAAACCTATACTAGATAGGTATTAATTTTATAGTTAGAATGCTTAATAGATATCAAAATAATCTAGGAGTGGAACATTAAAAATTATAAAGAAAATGATGAGATATCTAAATGGAACGAAAGATTTCATGCTTACATACAAGAGATCAAATTAATTTGAAATGATGAGATATTCAGATACTAGTTTTGCAAATAACTTCGATAGTAGAAAGTTAATTTCAAGATTTATATTTATATTACTTAAAAGAGTAATTTCTTGAAAAAATATAAAGCAATCATTTATTACATTATTAACAATGAAAATTAAATTTATGATTTTTTTAAGACCACAAATCAAATTTTATAGTTGCAAAATTTCATCTAAAGTCTTAGGATAGTCACTCAATTACTAGGTCACTAAAAATATTTTGTTTTTATATTATAGTAATTTACTTATCTAAGAATAACAAGTATTCTAATGATTCCAAATATATCGAGATAATGTATTTGGTGGTTAAAGAGAATTTAAAAATAACAAGTATTGTTAGAGAATTTAAGCATCACTTTGATTGTTAATCTATTTATTAATGCTTTATAGACTAAAATATATAAAAAATATATATTTTTATAATTAGACTTGTGAGTAATCCATGAAGATATGAAGATATATATATATTTAAGTGGATATTATTATTATTATTATTATTATTATTATTATTATTATTATTATTATTATTATTATTATTTTCTAATTAAAGTTATTTATTTTTGTTATCCTATTTATATTTATGTTGTATATTATATTCGAATGTAATAATAAATTATGAGTTATTATGGATTAAATTAGAAAAATACTTTATAACATATAATTGTTATAATTCGTATTGATAGTAAAACCTAATATAGTATTATTGTACTTATTAAATTTATTAACTTGCTTTAAAATTCATGATCATGTATAAAATTCTTTTCAAAATTTTTAGAATTCAATTAGATAAAATTATTATTAAATAAATTTATTTATTTTTATTTTAAATTTATTCATATCTTGTCAATTAATGGATTATGAAAAATATTATATTATATTATTATATTTAATTAAGTAAAATATATTATAAATATGATTAATTTTAATTACAATCACCGATCAAAGAAAGTTTTGTTACTATTTTTTAAGAAATGATCTTGATGAAAAATGTGTTGACATTACCTTTACAAATCAAATAAAAAAATTTTAAATGACATAAAAAAGGATACATAATCTTAATCTTGATATTTTATTATTTAGTTTTAATTTTGATATTAAATATTATTTTCATATAGCGATGACAGTGGTTTGATTATATAAAATACTTTATCTTCTCTTTATGCTTCAAAGATACATGGACCTCATATAGCAAACAAATGGCACATAGATGCACTTCACCCTATATCTGATCATTCTAAATCTCATGTAACATTAATTCATAGGAATATGCTGCTGAGGGACTTCAAATACACATCCAACACATGCAATTCAAAACCTACGATGCCATAACAAAAGAGGTAGACGCAACAATCTTATACCCACGAATAGACAGACTAAAAGATGACAGACAAAGACTAGAAGCTAGTTAAGAGAAAGCAGAACCATAAGCAGCAGCAATTCTCTGGTTATTATCACTAGATTATAAGATGACAAATTTGGTGATTTAAGCAGCTGGCTTCTCCCACTTGAGGGGCTTCACCACCTCCCAGGTGAAGTCTGGATCATCCCTGCCGAAGTGCCCGTAGGCTGCTGTCTTGAGGAACCTGCCATTGCCACCCCTCTTCAGGTCAAGGTTAATGGTGATCATCCCCGGTCTGAAATCAAAGTTCTCCTTCACTATCTCCAGAATCTCCTTGTCGGGGATTTTGCCGGTGCCATAAGTGTCGACAAAGACCGAAAGGGGTTCAGGAACACCGATGGCGTAAGAGATCTGGACGATGCAGCGGCGTGCAAGTCCATTGGCCACGATGCTCTTAGCTGCCTGCCTGGCGATGTACGCACCGCTGCGGTCGACCTTGGTTGGATCCTTGCCGGAGAAGGCACCGCCACCATGGGCTCCCCAGCCACCGTAGGTGTCGATAATGATCTTGCGGCCGGTAAGCCCAGCATCGCCATGAGGTCCGCCAATGACGAAACGACCAGACGGATTAAGGTGGAAGATGGTCTTCTCATCGAGATACTGCTCAGGGACGACAGCCTTGATTACATGCTCCTTCAGGTCAGCAGCAATCTCGTCATTGGTGACGGTCTCATCGTGCTGGGTGGAGATGAGCACGGTATGCACACGAATGGGGACCATGGCACCGTGTTCATTGCGGTACTCGACGGTAACCTGGGTCTTACCATCGGGCCTCAACCATGGACAAGTTCCATTTTTGCGGACGTCGGTGAGGCGAGCTCCAAGTTTTGTAGCGAGGACATGGCTCAGGGGCATCAGCTCAGGTGTCTCGTCTGTTGCATAGCCAAACATGTGACCCTGATCCCCAGCGCCGATCTCCTCAGGGCGCTTGGTGAAATGGCCATGGACACCCTGGGCAATGTCAGGGGACTGCTGCTCAATGTTAACAAGCACCTTGCAACGATCTGCATCGAGGCCTACATCATCGGATGTGAACCCAATAGCACGGCAGGTGTCGCGGACAATCTTCTCATAGTCGATATTGCCCTTTGTGGTGATCTCACCAAAGACCATGACCATGTTGGTCTTGGTGCACGTCTCACAGGCAACCTTGCTGTCAGGGTCCTGCTCGAGGCAGGCATCAAGAACTGCATCAGAGATCTGATCACAGAGCTTGTCTGGGTGCCCTTCATTGACAGACTCAGAGGTGAAAAGGAAGGTGTCCTCCATTTTACCTAAAGTTGGATCCACATAGAGCATATATCAAGTAGGTAAGAAAGAACACTAAAGAAGAATAGCAGAAGTCAAATCTAGAAGCACAAAAGTCAGCCGGAAGCGAAACCTGCACGAGCAAAGTCCACGCAGGTCTGCAAGCAGAAACCAAGGTAGACAACAGGCTACAAACAAATGAAAGGGAGCAGTTTGCTCGATGACTTCAAAGAAAAGAACTTTTTTCTTTCAGAACCAATGAAGACAATCGAAAAATCCACAGATCTAGCCAAAACAACGCGGAAATCGCAGAAATTGAAACCCTATCGCCACTACAACAAATACATTAGGATCAAACTTCGAAGGTACACGCAGAAATCTACACCCTAAATCAGATCCATCGGTTCAGGGAAACTGAACGTGTTGAGGAACGAAACCAAGGCAACGCCCATCACAGGAAATGAAAAGAGCGAGTTCACGAACGAAACCAAGGCAGCACCCATCACAGGAAATGAAAAGAAAAGGAGAAACGAGATCTGGAGAGTCCAAGGGAGATTGGCTCACCAGATCTGGCGCCGCTTTGAGCTCTCTGAGGAAGACGGCCTCCCGAATGCTGAATGCCCCGCATCGGCCCCGACCGGTATTTAAAGATTCGATGGCGCCCGTGATCGAATCGCGGCCGTCCGATTCGATTCGATTTGGTCACGCGGCTCACGGTCCTGTCTTGGTGCGCTCCAGTAAGCGGCTTTATCTGGGGCTTCACCTAACACCCACCTGGACCCACATCCGCACCAGGTTCAATCGGCTCTCGGCTCATTCGGCTCCCTCACTGCTTACCGGCTCAGATCCCCATGTGTGTGTGTGGAATGTGGAACGCAAAACAGCCAAGACGTGAACCATTTGTTGCCACGTGGAGAGTAATCTATTAGGACTTTCAAACTTATAGAAAGTCGTGATGGAGGATTATAAATAAAAGAGCATTATTGACAAAATTGTATTTATCGTTTCACGGTTTCAACCTGAATTATCTATTCAGGTTGACTTTTTTTTTTTCCAGAATCATTATTGACAAAAATGAGTGAACTTTTTTTTTCCAATATTTATCATATTCGAACTGATGCAATGATCAGATTTAAGTTTCAATATGTTGTTGGATTGATAAAGTATTTTCGAATTTCTGGTTAAAAAAATTATAATTAGAATTTAATTATTTTATAAATATTCATAGAGTTGAAAAATATTATTGAATTGCTACGACTAAAGTCTCCAACCAGCACATGGAAGCTAATTTTTTATTTTTTAAGCAAATAAAAAATAAAAAAACTCCATTGGAAGAAGTAAATTTGATGTAAGCCATCAGAATTATCTCAGATTCTCTTACGTACGAGAAGTGACAGATGGCAATCAAACTTGTCCCAAAATTTGATGCAGCAATCAGAGAGCAATGACAATAGAGATTGGGCTCAAACACTACATTTTGGGCTTCGACCGGGTCCAACAACAACCGGTCCAATAATTTCCGGCTGGATCGGGTTAACGACGGTAGAAAACCATTGCGATTTCGTTGCCACCTGTTCCTCCCAAATCCCAAACCCTTGTCCGCGCGTCGGAGAGAGATCGAGGCGAAGAGCGGAAGGGATCGAGAAGAGCCTTGGTGGATATGAGAGTTGGATTCATGGCTGGGATCCTCGGAGGCATCCTCCTTGCCCACGCCGGCTATGCCACCATCCAATGTAAAGTCCTACCCATTCTTCTTCTTCTTCTTCTTCTTATCTTTTGTTGCCGTGATCGGATCGAAATATGATTTGGTCCACACCCGATGTTTCGGATGTTCTCGCTTCGATTTCTTGTATCTGTTCTTACGTCGATTTGGAATATAGACAGAGGGATGCTGAAGATCGTGGAAGAAGAGTTCTCGCGTCCTCCGATGAACGTAAGATTCAGATCCTTATCCTAGTTTCCTTTTTGATTCATGTAATTTCTCTTTGCGGTGATCCCTTTTCAATTCTAGTATCTTTGGATCTATGACGTGGAGTTCCCATGGCTTTGAATCATCGCTGTCATATTAATAATATTCCTTTTGATTTGGTGTTTATGGATCATTGGATTGTTCTCTTAGGTTGTGGTCGAGCTACTACTGGGGTTGGCTTTCTGCATATGGGCGGCTCTGGCGGCTCCTGCAAAATTTAGATCCATACATCCTGATTCTGAAGAAAATAGGTATTTGTGTATCTGCATGATTTAGATAGTTTTCATTCTACATCTTGTTGTGATTGGCAAATTCGGCAAGCTGCTTTATATATAATCTGCTCCAATGTAGTTTAGTCAGTACAGGAAAATTAAGCGATTATTGTCATGGTATATTGATTTAATATGTATAATTTTTTTACTCATAGTACCTGCTAGTACTTGATCAATATGTTTCAAAACTAACATTAGTTTGATGTTTCCTTTCATAGGCATTTCTTTATCTAGATATTAATATGGACTCTACCAAATTTGATGCCATAGTAGAAATATAGTGTTCGAGGGGTTCATATGGGATGGAATCAGAGTGATGTGGCTAGGGTTGGTACTTATTTAAGATGAGAAAAAAATAAAGAAGTTTCATACTTGTGATTGCATCTGTTTGAGTATTTAATAATCCCACTAATGGATGAGAACATAAACAAAAAATAAAAGACAAACATAGAAAAGGAAAAACGACACTTAGATGCACCAGTTGGAAGGAGATGATGGTTCAGAATCACCGGCTTACTTCGTATGTCCAGTAAGTTTCTATGGCTAGGACATTTAAAATGCCTTTTTAGGAATGAATTTTTTTATGCATATGACTCTTATTACAAATATGTTCTTTGAGGAGTCAGGAGGGAACCAAATTTTCCCCTTGTGCTCTTTCTCCAAGGAAGATTCCTGTTCATCACAGCCTTCTATTATTTTCTCCTCTTTTTTGCTTTGCTTTGTGCCCTTTTCTAATTCCATATAGCTTAGTTTTTCTGCATACTACTCATTTGGTTAAACCAAATGTTCAAGTTCCTACCAAAGATAAATTGGTGTAGTGTAAGATGTACTAAAGAAAGGAACTTTGTAGAGAGGCTTAAAGTAAAATTAATTTTGTGCATATTATGGATCTGGATTATGGTAGATGAAGAATGAAAATGGAGATAAGATCATATTGTGATCTTGAGTGGTACAATAACTTCTGATGGGTTCGCTTCTTCAAAGTCTCTTCTTGCTGTATGGTTATTTAGAATTTTAGATGATATGAGACATTGGCTTACAATGGCTAAGAGAGGACTGCCACTTTGACCAGATAAGGTAAATTACACTTTTGTATATTGATAAATAAAGATCATGAAAGGTGTACTTTTCTGGACCAGTACCTCATATGGAGCAATCTGATGTCAACATGACCTGACATGTTTAAGTCAAAGTTATCAGCACCAGGCTGATTAAATCATATAGATCAGATTGCAAATGTCATGTTTCCCAAAGAAAAAAAGATAGTGAGAATTTGTACCTTACCCAGCTCAAAACCCTATTGTGTTTATTAAAACAGATTACTCTAAACACCTGATTTAGCTTCTTGATAAGCTTCAGCATACACGGAGGGTTATAGTATAATATCATTTGCAGTGTCTTGAATAATCTACTGGCTCAATATTGTATTGAGCAATTCGCTTGCTGAGAACACTGTACACAGTTAGAAGTGATGACAATAGAAGAGACAAACTCAGATATAAATAACTGAACTAAGATTTTTTTCCACGTTGACAATGCTGTCTTTGGTTCCAACTTCTTTGGTCACATTATTTTTTTCCATTTAATCGAGTCCAAAGTTACGAGTTGAGTTTGACAAATGAAAAGGAGCAGGACTATAAGTAGAAAAATAAGACATCAAATTACTTTTTATCTTTGCTTGGAAATTTAGGTTCCAAAGAAATAGTAATCTTTTAGAAGCAGCATCAGGCAACCGCTGATGATGCTTGATAATGTAGGTTGTCATGAAATTAGAATAATTCAATAGATGTTGCTTATCGAGGATTAGTCACTATGTGCTTCATCAATCTGTTATGTATACTATTTCCGAGTCCAGCATAGAATATATTATCCTATCTATGGTGTTGGTTGAATCTTGCAGTTATCATTGTAGAATAACTGTAGATAATCAAAACCATGTGCTGTAGTTGCAGTGTGTAGATTGCTGTCAAGTTTACAGGGTTTTTCTCTTAAGGATTTATTGTATTGTGCCATGCATATCTAGCGGTTTAAATGAACAGTAATATGCATGCCAAATGACTTAAGTTGTTGTTTATGAACTATAAAGTGCACGTTATGAATGAAGTAACCTTGTCAACTATAATGCAGTTGTTCCTCACTTTGCATCTGGTTTATAAAAATAGCATCTCATGCATGTGTAATGTCGCACATCCCACTTCGTTCTCAACTTTCAGCCTGCAATCGCGTAGACTTAATTAATTCATGGGTACATCAGGATGAGGTGTTCAGAATTCATATTGAAAAGTCATCAATCACCTGACAGTTGTGGGACATTCATGAAAATTCAATTTATTCTATCATGGTGTCTATCTTGATACATTTCATGCTTATAGGAAGCTGTTTTGAATGTGAACTGCAGGATCGTGTCCTTACCAACAAACCTGGATTTCATGATCTTCAATCACCGTGGCAAAGTGTTTCCGTGTAATGCAGAGTACAAGTTGAAAAAGTAGGTCTTTTCCCCCTTAAGGCACGAGGAATCGGACCTCCTGTCTAGCTTCATCACAATCCACCTAAATCGGTGTGAGGTAGGTTTCATTCTCTAAAACATGAACCGTATGTTGATTATTTCCACACTTCGCTTCGTGTAGTAGTTTATTAATTTTGGAACGCCAGTGTGTCCATTGAACTTCGTTACTCCTGTGACATCCATAAAATTTCCTGTTCTAGTGAAGCTTTAGTTTATTTGTACGTGGCAGCCTAAACGGAAATTTCTTTTGATCAATAGATGTTGCTTTGCTCCCATGAACTCCTGTAAATGGTTTTGATGGAGTGGCATCAAATCTAAACCGAAAGATGGTTCAAGGAGTTGATGACAAATATTGGGATGTTTGTCAATTAACCTGGAAATCTCACTCCGGTGTTAGAAGCCGTGTAGGTCGACTCTTGGTTGATAATTAATGGTTGAATTGAATCACATGAAGATTGAAAAATGTAGCACATAACCAAGTGAGAGAGCTTATGCAATTTAAGTGCCGTAGGTACCTTAAATCTTAAAAAGTAAGTACAGTTTACGCCCGAGTATTAGTATTATATGAAGACGTACTCAAGTGCGAGAAATGCGACTGTATCAGATATTATCTACATTAATTCAGGAGACATTTACTCCAGAACACTGTACTCTTACCCTGTTGTTCAACTAATTCAAGTTATCTATATTATAATCCTCCAGTTTGATCATCTCCTGCATCTCGTATAACAAACTACGAATCTGCATGCCTTGAGCATGAAAGCTCTCTCTGCCCGTCAAGAATTCATGAATCACTCCATCCAATTCAAGCCAACTGCAGCCTGCAACCTTTTTCACTTGCAAATCATTCATCTGCTTTCTCACTTTGCCTGCATCATCAGGTCGACCAACATCCTTGAGGATATTAGACATCAAAACGCAAGCACCACTGTCTCGAAGACCCGATTCAGTTATCTTTCTCCATATACGGTCAGCCAGTCCAACGTTCTTGTGAATTCTGCAAGCACTGATTAGCGACTTCCAGATGACAGAATTAGGCTCGACCGGCATAGTCTCCACAAACTCCACGGCCTCTTTTAGACACCCCGCACGTGCCAAGGCATCAACCATGCACCCGTAGTGTCTTATGTTTGGTTTCAACCTGTAACGCTCCGTCAAGAGATGGAACAGTCTGCGTCCCTCCTCGACAAGACCTGCATGGCTGCAAGCACTTAAAATGGCAGTAAACGTGACATCGTTGGGGATCATTTGGAAGTCATCCTGCATTCTGTAGAACAGGTGGAGGGCATCTCTTCCACGACCGTGAGCTGCAAGGCCTGAGATGATGGAGTTCCAAGCTGACAACTGCTTGTGCTCGAGCTTCTCGAAGACGTAAATGGCATCCCCAATGCAGCCACAGTTGGAGTACATATCCACGAGAGCGGATGCAAGTACCGAGTCGACTTCTACACCCATCTTGTCCAAATAGGCATGGATCCATCGCCCCTGATCAAGAGCACCAAGCTCCGTGACCGCCGGAAGGACGCTCACAATGGTGACTTTGTTCGGCGGGACGCCCGCGACTTGCATCTCGAGGAACAGGTCCAATGCCTCCTTATACTGTGAATTCTGCACATAGCCCGAAATCATAGCCGTCCAAGTGACGACACCCCTCTGAGTCCTCATTCGATCAAAGATCCTTCGAGCGACCTCAACGTGACCGCATCTCAAGTACCCAGAAATCAACGAGTTCCAACAGAACTGGTTCCTCTCGGGCATCGCATCGAAGAGCTCCTGTGCAATCCCCAGCGACCCGTTCCTCGCGTACCCATCAACCATGACGCTCCAAGAGACCACATTCCTATCAGCCATTCCATCGAACACCTTTCTTGCAGCATCCAAATCCCCGATCCTACACAATCCCACGATCAAATCGTTGCAAGAGACGATGTCCGGTTGGGAGCATCGTTCGAACACCTTGAGCGCGTCATCACAAGCAAGAAACCTAGCGTACATCCTGATCAGGGATCTCTGAACGAAGACATCCGAGAGGAGGAGGCCTCTTTTGACAGCCTGCCCATGGAGCTGCCGCCCTTCCTCGGCGGCGCGGAGGCCGCAGCAGGTTTTTAACAGGGAAGGGAAGGCGATATGTTCAGGCTCGAGGGTCCCCGAAGAGAGAAGCCGATGGAAGTCGACGGTTGGGTCGGGAGGAGGATTGTTTCCTTCGGGTGCTCTTCCGGTTGTGAGAAGCGCGGGGAGAGTCCTCCCACGAACCCTTGTCGCACGAGGGCTTCCGCGTTGCCGTTGCGGGCGAGATGGAACGAACAGTTGATGCTGAGGCAATGGCGTCGACATGACTCTACAAACCGCGGCTTGATATGTTGCGTACCTACATGCACACAGTAGTCCAGTCTCTTTATTTTGACGACAGAAAGGTCAAGTCAACGACACGACTGCATCACTATTAGCAGTGAGTGGCTTCTCATCTGGGCTTCGTTGGTGCGCAACCTTCTTATGTGGGCTTCTCAGCTGGACTTCTCCTTTGCATCACTGTTATGCAGTCACTTCTTTTTCTGGGCAGCTAACGCAATAATGAGAAGTTGAAGGATCGAGAGAGAGAGAGAGTCATCTATTTTCATCTTGCCAATGATTTGCCTGTTTACCTTGCAGGGCTGATAGGGGTCCAATCAATCAAATCGTATATGAGCCGAAAGAGATGAGAGGTTGCAAGTTTCTGCGTGCAAATGAGTTTTCCAAAATGTTCAACAGATGTAACTTATCCTCGGCTGACAACTTTTTCACGTGGTGATGTTCAATCTTAACTTTTATGCTACTTTCTTTCTCTGGACGTTTGTCTAAAATGCATTGAATTGAATCATCGACTAAGTAACCTGAAAAGTGCATCGTAACGTAAACTCGTGGTTTAAAGTTACAATAGGCCCAATCGTAGTTCCGAAAGTATCAATTTCAATTTCTCCAAACTAAAAATTAGAATCGAATCATCTAGATTTTGATTATGGAATCAAACTGGAACAATCGATTCCGATTTAGATGATTTTGGTTCCGGTTCGAATCATCGATTAACCTGTAATTTTTTGTGCATATTACCTGCAATTCATAGAGGTTTTTATGCATAATATCTAACTTTTTTAATGACACATATGTTGATGATAAATGCAAAACCATTTTCTCTATCAGGCATAGTGTGATGATGCCTGGTGGAAGTGATGATTTTAGGTTATAGTGATGATAATGATGATGATAATTGATTAGGGATGTTGGTGAATGCAGTGTGGGTGGTGCAGAGCAAAGGAGAAAAGAGGTGCATCCTCGACCTGGAAGGCCAAGATAAATAGAGAAAAAGTAGCCTCCTCGATGACACTTGGTAGCTTCTCCACTTCCAACTTGCAGAAACCGTACAGCATTTATTGAAACAAGCAATTCAATGTGCAGGTTAAGCAATCTGTCTGCAATCAAACAAGCTTTCACTACGACTCACAATGATTCAAACATGGGCCGAACGTAGGAGAAAGGACAAAGCGGCTTGTCGACCTCTTTTTCACATCTGTCAGCCTCATTTTTGTGTTGCTTTTGGCATGTTGCTTCAGGCGAAGGAAAGGCTTAGTGGAGCAGCGAATCTTGTCATCCAACTCTGTTCATCTCTTTCGACCAAGGCTTTGCTAATGTTCATGTACTGGGGGGCTGGCATGATGATACACACAGGAATGCAGATCCGCAGCAACAGGATCCAATAAGCTCACTTGGACTCTTCAGTTGTTCCCTAAGATATGAGCCTTGGTTCGCTGCATCTTGAGCATTTTATACGTACAAACTGAAGATGTTCGTCTAGTTCTGCAAGGTACGTGAAGTATGGATGGTTGGATGCTTGGATAAGGACAGCAAGAGTGAGGCTCTTCTTTCTTTCATGTCATGAAAGATGAGATGGATCGCAATCTCTTCCCACCAGTCAAAAGCTGTCCTCAATGCTTGCTTCCATCTTCTCAAAAGAACTCAAAAGCATTCTCCATTACCGAGAACAGATCCATCTGGAAAACCTATGAGCTCTCTCGATGACCTTCATCATGCTCTGGTTGCTCAACGGAGAGAGTATGCATCTCACTGGAAGTACTCTTGTCTTCCTTGTGGCCAACTTTGGAAGTCCACAGGTTGCCACTTGGAATTCCCTGTCCTAAGGGCATTATATTAGTGTCTCACGCCACACTGACTTCTACATTTCAAATCCTTCGGTGTGCTTCACCAGCAACTGTAATATGCCATGCGAGCATTGACCTAGTAATTAGCACTGACATGCTGTGCACCATTCACTCACTCAATGATGCATGTGCAGATCCCCGTTTCTCCAGGAAAAAGAGATGCTAAAGCCGACGAGAGACACGGCCAATCGCGGTGGAGAAAGCAGGGAGACAATAAGTATCCATCGGTCTATCGAGTTTGTCACGATGGCGATCGCGATCGCAATAATGGAGGTATTCTTCGAAGTCTGCAAGCAGTGCATTCTCCCGTTCTTTTGTTTAACTCCTACTCCTCCTTAAGGTTCAGCCTCTTCCCCTTCCACGTGCTTCTGACCTAAACAGCTTAGCTTGCAACATTCGCTTGATGAACATGCAATCATTTTTCTCAAGTCAACACACACACACACACTCTCTCTCTCTCTCTCTTTCTTTCTATATATATATATATATAACTCATTCGAGTCCCTTGTGATCTAACAATTCAAATCGATCCAACTTTGAGACTCTACCTGTGAAGCTTAACTATTGGGAAGCAGCAACCGGTACATGGCAACGTCATGGCTGAAAGAATTACGTAGAAGACGTGCCATCCGTTTCCTCCGTGCAATACGTAAGTAGATCACTAACAAGACGCTATGTGCTTCCGTTGGGAGCAAATACCAGCCCCACTTACAGAAGACAACGAGCAAGCTTGTTGGCCCCACAAGATTCATCCTCCCTGTGCAGGGAGCTGTCAGTAATATAATAATGTGGATAAACACCAAGACTTTCTGCAAGAACAACTAGGGTTTCTCTAACCATAGAGTTGAATCATCTTTCTTTGGCTTCATAAAGAACACGTCCCCGAAGCATTATTGGGCGGGTGCAGATGGACGCTCAGGGAAAGACGGTGCGCAGTGGTTGCAGCAGGTATTAAATAAGTCATCTTGTTTGAGGTGGAGGATGGAAGGTTGCGTGGGATGAGTTCATGGCGGCTCAAAGGGTGGCGCGTGCGGATGCGATAAGAGTCGCTAACGACAAGGAAAACAACGTCAGAGGTTTTTAGGAACTGGAGAAGCAAAACCCATATGAGCCGATGACATTTTGTTTGCTGTTCCTTGTGATTCTCTTGCAAGTAGAAACTGGACGGTTTGTGATTGGAATGATGATGATTGAAATCACACATGAAGCAAACACCATGATTCTATCTGTAGAATATATCTCCTTGGCACCAGTAAATGGCAGCTCTGCAACTCAATCTTTTTACCCGCCTTTCACCTCTTGCATTGACTTGCATCATACCTAAAAGTTGAGCATTACTTCCAAGCAAGAAAGCTGAGGCATCACCATGGACTAGAGCTTGCAGAGGATCTGCACCTTTCCTACAGTGGAAAGATGGATGTCTTCTTTAGTAAAGATCTTTCTCTGAAGGAACAATATTGTCAAAGCATTCTTTACAGTGTGAAGAGTTAACATTAAGATTTATTTATGACATTTGAATTCAATAGTGTCGGGAGTAGGTCTACTAAGTCCTTGAGTGGAAAAGTAATAAGCCAGTGTGGTGTGATGGTGATGGAAGATTAGTTCAGTTCCCTTTATCAAATACATAAAACAAGAGCTGCTGCATGCCATAGATCATAAAGTAGCTAATCTTTTCTTTTTGGGGGGGGGGGCAATAACCAAGTTGTCGCCAACTATATCATATCTGTCTCTCTTTAGCATATCCCGACGTCTATCTGATCTCTCATTTGGATCTCTTCGGTTTCCCTTAAGCTCCACTGTGTATGCATGCAGGCAAATAGAATTTAAAGCTAAAGATTGAGCCTGAAGCTGTAGGAGAGGTCAGATATCTACAGAAATGTTCTTGTAGCATAAATTGACCTCCACCGGTTGACCTTTGGCTATGGGTAACCTAATCTGCCACAAGAAATAATCAGTAAATTTGACTTCTTGATCCGAAGCTAAAGACAAAAGTTAGCGAAGTTGTCATGCGAAAAGGAAAACTTGTAGGATGATGAAGCTTCACCGGAGGAAGTCTCAGTTAGAGGTGATCAAAGATCACGTCAGCCTTCGCTCTTCCACGCCCGGAGAGAAAGCTAGAGAGTCTTGGAAATTAGCTTTCTATCAGCCAACACATAGTCTCCCGACTTCAATAAATCATTTATGGCGGAGCAAACGGAAGCACACTATTTTCAAAAATAAAAATAAATAAATTATCTAATTATCACTTTTATTTATCTCACAATTGTTAATTTTTATGTTTCGAGTTTCTTTTGTTAGCTAGCTAGTTTTGAAAATCTAAAACTAATATAAATAAATGTCTCATCTAAACCAATGAGATCATTAAAAAAAAGCAATCTTTGAAGGTTTCTAGTAATAATTTTCTATTTTAGTTTTCGTCCTGTGGTACCATAGCATTGCTCTTGGTGTTAGCATAATAGGTTTGTTGTGTGCTCTATACTCGCTACGTATAGTGAATCTTGTGTATCAGAAACTTAATTTGCTAAGTACAACCCTATAACAATAATGGTGCTAGTGACAATGACATTATCGGTGATGGTAGTGGCAAGTTCGATGATGATGACCTTCGTGATGGAGGTGATGATAACAACCCCAACAGTAATGATCGAGTAATGATCGAGGAGTGCCAACCTTATGGGCAACGTTTGAAGTGCAAGAAGCGAGGATGACCTGAGAACTATAAGAGATTCATGATATGCTCGCTAACTCGGGTTTACATGCTAACAGAGTTCGTGATAGTGATAGGATCAATTGTGCCAGAGTTGATGCTTATTGCCAGCCTAATCATTGACATGAGCCTGCAATTCAATGTAAACAACCAGCGTATGAAGATGAATCCAACGAAGAAAAAGGAATTGTGGGCTATTATAGAACCAACCAAAGAAGAGGTACGGGTGCAGCTTAATCTCGACACTTTCACCAACATGGTACTATCTGCCCACAACAACCAATAATGTACAATGATGACTCAGAAAATGACAGCGAAAGATATAGAAGACACTAAGCACCACCAATATGAAATAGGCTATTTAAATATTACCGTCTCAAAGGAGACCTCCCTAGGTTAAATGGCTACCTCATCATTGAAGCTTTTCTTGATTT